CTTTTTTTTATCTTTTAGGGGGAACCAGTTGGTGGGCACATCTTGAGCTACCTCCTGGAAAAAAGCAGAGTGGTTTACCAAGCAAATGGGGAAAGAAACTTCCACATATTCTATCAACTTTTGAATGGAGCTTCAGATGAGAGACTCTCCAGCCTTCACCTGACCAGAGATATCAGTCAGTACCAATACATGAAGCAGGTATGGTATTGTTGAATTTACAATAAAGCATGCATCATTTTGATTGCAATCATTCCTATGTAATGTCAGGGTGGAGGTAATCAGCACTCTCACAAGTCACAAGATGATGTTGGCCAGTGGAAAATTATGGAACATGCCATGGATACATGTGGAGTGCAGGCTGAAGAAAAGAAGCATATTCTGTCAACTGTTGCTGGCATTTTGCATCTTGGGAATGTGGAGCTTGAAGAAGGACCCAACAACTATGCAGAAGTTCCTGCCAAGAGTAGGGATGCCTTGTTGAAGGCTGTTCAGGTCAGTCAATCTTTTCTCTGGAGAAATGAAGCATTATGTAAAAATGCACTGAAACTTTTAATACTGTGGATCATTAAGATACCCAGAGCTGATCAAATGGATATCCACTTTAATGTGAATATACTGTTTCTTATTCATTTTAATGCTTGCAAAGCTCTCATATATTCAGAGAAATTTCAGATTATACGTCTTGAAAAAAAACAGCAACTACTTTTAAGGATTATAGTGCAAGGATTTATTCAAGTATCACTTTTCCTTGCACCTTAATGTTTGAGCTGCAAAATTATAGGTACAAACTTATTCCAACTTCACTCCACAATTTTCAATCAAAATATTTACAAATTCAAGAATTAGAACAGCTGAAATTATCAATGCAGATTCTAATAAAATATAATCCAGTTTGCTTCTCCTTTCTGATGTATCTATGATGTAGTCAAATGATGATGCCCAACATTTGGAAAATTAGCAGGAAATTTTTGTACTTGATTATGACATGCACTCCAATTTTTGAGGCATAAGGCATACAAGTCACCAGAATACTTGAATAAATGCTGCAGTATAATTAAAAAGATACAGTATCATATTTATCTGTAGATTTAGTCAGATTTTAATAATTTTACAAATAATTTCATTTTTTCATTTTATTTTCTTTTAAAACTCCAGGAGTACCTAAAGGTACTAAATGAGCTAAAATTCTTTTATTTTATTAAAAGTTCTATAAATAATAAAAGATAGCTGGCATTTTTATCTCATCAAGTAAATAAAGTGCTGCAGTAGCATAGTATATTGTACTATGTTCTGTATAATAATTTATTAAATAAAGTATTATAATTTTAAAAATACAATTTTATTGTTAAATATATACGGTATTATCAATTATTGAATACAGTATTATCATCTATTCCAAAAATTTGGGTTTTGTTTCAGGTGTGTCTATAATAGAGGATCATTTATCCTGATTCATGTTTGTGTCACTAAATTGACGTTTGAACACTGTATATAATTTTCAATCAAAATTTCAGCTCTTTGGATGTGCAGCAGATGCTTTGGAGAAAGCCCTGACCCACAGGACAATTGAAGCAAGAGGAGAGTTTGTGACTACCCCTTTGAACAAGGAGCAAGGTCTGTATGCCAGGGATGCCCTGGCAAAGGCAACCTATTCCAGAGTCTTCACTTGGCTGGTGGGAAGGATCAACAATGCCCTGAGGGTAGCTGAAGAGACTGCTGCTGCTCCAGGGCTGGGCTCCAAGC